AGCAGGGAGCCCGATGCGGGGCTCGATCCCAGGACCCCGGGATCATGACCCGAGCCGAAGGCAGACGCTTAGTGACTGAGCCACCCAGGCGCCCCATGGGATAGTTTTCTTAATTTCACTTTCTGCTATTTCATTATTAGTGTATACAAATGCAACAGATACCTGTACATTGATTTTGTTTCTTGCAACCTTATTGAATTCATTTATCAGTTCTAGTTGGGTTTTTTTTGGTGGAGTCTTTAGGGTTTTCTATATATAGTATCATGTCATTTGTAAATATTGGAAGTTTTACTTCTTCCTTACCTATACAGATGCTTTTTATTTATGTTGTGTGGTTGCTGTGGCTTAGGACTTCTAGTACTCTGTTGCATAAAAGTGGTGAGAATGGACATCCTTGTCTTGTTCCTGACCTTAGGGGACAAGCTCTCAGTTTTTCACCAGTGAGTATGATGTTGGCTGTGGGTTTTTCATATAAGGCCTTTAGTATGTTGAGATATGTTCCCTCTAGACCTACTTTGTAGAGGATTTTTATCATGAATGGATGTTGTATTTTGTCAGATGCTTTTTCTGCATCGGTTGAAATGATCATATGGTTGCTATCCTTTCTCTTATTGATGGGATGCATCACATTGATTGTTTTGTGCATACTAAACCACACTTGCATCCCAGGAGTAAATCCCGGTTGATGGCGGTGTATGATTTTTTAAAATGTTTTGTTGGGTTCGGTTTGCTAATATTTTGTTGAGGATTTTTGCATCTGTATTCATAAGAGATATTGGCCTGCTCTCTTTTTTTGTAGTGTCTTTATCTGGTTTTGGTATCAGGGTGATATTGGCTTCATGGAATGAATTTGGAAGTTTTCCTTCCTCTTGTATTCTTTGGAATAGTTTGAGAAGAATGGGTATTCACTCTTCTTTAAATGTTTGGTAGAATTCGCCTGTGAATTCGTCTGGTCCTGGACTTTTGTTTTTTGATTATTGATTCAGTTTCATTGCTGGTAATTGGTCTGTTCAAATTTTTTATTTCTTCCTGCTTTAGTTTTGGTAGGTTTTCCAGAAATTTATTTCTTATAAGTTGTCTAATTTGTTGATATATAGGTTTTCATAATCTGTTAAAATTATTTATATTTCTATGGTGTTGGTTATTTCTCTTCTTTCATTAGTAATCTTATTTATTTGGGTCCCTTCTCGTTTTTTTTTTAATGAATCTTGCCTAGAGGTTTATCAGTTTTCTTGATCTTTTCCAAGAACCAGCTCCTGGTTTCATTGATCCGTTCTGTTGTTTTTTTAGTTTCTATGTCATTTATTTCTGCTCTTATATTTATTATTTCCTTACTTTTGCTGGGTTTGGGTTTTCTTCTTTTTCTGGCTCCTTTAGGTGTAAGGTTAGGTTGTTTGAGATTTTTCTTGCTTCTTGAGATAAGTCTGTATTGCTGTAAACTTCCCTCTTAGAACTACTTTTGTTGTATCCCAAAGATAATGGACTCTGTTTTCATTTTCATTTGTTTTCATGTAATTTTTTATTTCTTCTTTGATTTCTTGGTTGACCCATTCATTGTTTTATTTTTTAAAAGATTTTATTTTGGGGGGACACCTGGATGTCGCAGTTGGTTAGGTTTCTGACTCTTGGTTTCAGCTCAGGTCATGATCTCAGAGTCCTGAGATCAAGTTCCACATTGGGCTCTGCGCTCTGTGCTTAGTCTGCTGAAAGATTCTCTCTCTCTCCCTCTGCCCTGCCCCCATCCCCCACCCCCTGCATGCACTCACTCTCTCTCAAATAAATACTCAAATAAATAAATCTTTAAAAAGATTTTATTTTTAAGTAATGTCTACACCTAACATGGGGCTCGGACTTAGAACCCTGAGATCAAGACCCACATGCTCTACCGACCAAGCCAGCCAGGCAGCCCAACCCATTCAGTGGTTTAATAGCATGTTATTTAACCTACATATATTATGCTCTTTTCCAGATTTTTTTGGTGGTTGATTTCTAGTTTCATAGCATTGTGGTTAGAAAAGATGCATGGTACACACTTACTATCTTAACAGAATTAAAAAAAAATTAAACCAGGATGCTGTCTAACTAGCATATCTGTTTCCATTTCTCCGTGTTCTTCTCTGAAATTTTTGTATTTTGTAATTGTGGATTAAATTTTGTATTCTTTGACTTAATATATCATAAGCAGTTTTTTTCCTCTGTGTGTTCTTCAGTGATCATTTTCAATGTCAGTATAATGGCATCTTTATGAATGTAGGCCTTTCCCTTTAGAGGGTTGTTAACCTTAGAATAGATATCCAGTAAAATTCCTGAATCAAAAATGATTTTTTTTTTAAAAAGTACTACATTTTCCAGAAAGATAGCACTTGTTTATGTTGTCACCAACAATGTATGAATGTACCAGTTTCACATTGTTTCTATTTTTTTTTTTAAGATTTTATTTATTTGACACAGAGAGAGAGACAGCTAGAGAGGGAACACAAGCGGGGGGAGTGGGAGAGGGAGAAGCAGGCTCCC